TTTGCTTTTCCTGACAGATCTCACTGTCCTGAATAGAACAGAATCATTAAGGCTGGAAAAGACCTCAAGGATCATCAAGTCCAACCGTCAACCCAACACCACCCAACCCACTAACCCATGTCCCTCAGCACCACATCTACACGTTTGTTGACCCCCTCCAGGGATGGTGACTCCACCACTGCCCTGGGCAGCCTGTTCCAATGCCTGATCACTCTTGCAGTGAAGAAATTTTTCTAATATCCAGCCTAACCCTCCTGCCTCTGGCAATGGCTTTTTGGTGGCTCGTGTGGGATCACCCTAGTCCTGGGCCCTCCTCTAACAGTGCTGCTGTACTTCCAGGACTACAACTACACTCCTAGAAGGAACTAGCTTGGAGATCGTTTGTTCTCTCCTCTTCCCAGGACCTAGTTGCCCTCTACTTTCTGCCTTCCCTTCTACACAAACCAGCTGGCAATACAACCCCAGGTTTGAAGGACCCTTATCCTTGGTATGGAAGCATCTACCAAGGCTGTAAAACTCCCATCTGGCTACAGAGAGAAAAATAAAGAATTGGAGGTTGATGTCTGGCTGTGGTGAAGGTGAGCAGAGTTGTGAGAGCTGCAGGGATCTGTGTCTTGGTCACTTCTCATGAGTAAGTGGCCAAAGGGTGGCTTGTACCAGATCTGGCATAAAGACTCCCAGGGAAACATTAGCCCATGGACATGAGTAGACAACTCGGAGCCACGAGGTGGGTTTATCCTGGATCAGCTCTTTGCACCATTGTTATAATGTCAAACAAAGGCCTTGGACACTTCCTCTTCTGCCTTGGCTTTCTTAATACCTTCCCTCTCTTTTTATTTGCTGTCCTCTGCTCTTCTTGGGAGGGAGGGGTTTCACGTGGGCCAGGACTGGAAGGGATTTTAAGGGTCCACAGATTCCAGTGTCCTTCAAAAGGTATTGAACCAATTCACAAAATGTTTCCTGCGTCCCTTGTTGCCCTCTCCATCACCAGGCTGCTCCATGCAGACTCCAGCCAAATGGCTCCTCTGAGCTGCCTCAGCCCACGCGCCAGGGTCATGCCAGGGAACCGTGTCCCGCCACAGCCGCTGCGGGCAACACCCTCCACAGTCTCCGTGTGTGCGTTGATCAGAAAGCAAGGTCCCCATCCAGAGATGTAGTCAAGACTTGGAGCTGGCTAAGTAAGCCACACCACAGATCTCCTGCACAACAGCTCTACTTGCCCGCAGTCATTGGCCACTGGCCACACAGTCCCAGGCCACCTTCTCTGAGGATGGCAAACACCATCCATTGTCTCTGGGTGTGAGATGGGTTTGCTCACACGTGCTCACTGTCTGCTGAAATTCATTCAGCCAAGAGGAACATGCTAGTGGCCTCATCCTGCCATGTGTGCTGGGACCTGACTCATCCAGGCTGTGGACGCCTCCACCACCAGAGCCTCCATTCCAGGTGCCACCTCCAGCACCGAACCAAAACCATCCATTGCAGCACTGGAAATCTTACGGGGTTACTCACAGGTGGTTCAAATCTTGTCTTGGAGACAAATCCTACCTGCAAGATTTGAAGGCACCAGTGGCCAAAAGTTGTTTTCTCGCAGAGTTCCTCAGCAGAGACAAGGGGCAGGCATCATGCCTGCTGGGCTGTCACCAGGAGTCAGGATCTTAGCGCTAAGGCTGGCAGCAAGGGGAGCAGCGCGAGCTGGAAACACAAAAGAAGCAGCACAAAACGCCAAGGAGATGGCTTAACAGCCATGTTACACCACAGGGAAGCAGGCTTGGGGAAGGAAGCAGCACCCAGCTCTCAAACACCTCCCTGCACTTTGTCTCTCATCAAAGCCTTCCCACTGGTGGTGCTGCCGGTGCCACACGACGTTTGTTTTTCTAGGTGGTAAGCTGAAGGAAGGTGTTTCAAAGGCTGTGGATGTCACGCTGTACAGACTGGTTTGGCTGGGTTGGTTTTTTACTGCAGTCAATAGATTTTTATCAAATGCTTTAACTTGGTAAATTTTTCCTTGGTAATGGGAACAATCCAGCAAATAAATGATGGAGCGCCAGGAGACAGGCAGAGGAGATCTTGTTTGGCTGGATCTCCTTCTGCACAAGAGAGGCTTTGTGCAAGCTCACAGAAGCGCCGTGTTTGGCTCGCAATGGGCAGTGCTGGAGACAGGCTTCAGGCTTTGTGTCTGTGCAGAGTCAGGCTGGCTTCGTTATCCATGGGGCTTAAAACTCATTAGTGCTGAGGTTGTGGCCAGGCTGCTGGGAGGCTGTAGTTCCTTGCAAGAGGTGCTCGTCTCCCAGCAGCAGGGGCAAGGAGGCAGCTGGTCCTTTGGGGAAGGGAGCCCTACTCCCCCAGCCCAGCTCTTTAACCAGGTGGGGCAGTGCGAAGCCTCACGCTTCTGTGTCTCTGTGCTGCCCTGGCACCAGGTGAGAGAGGTGGCGTGATCCAACCCTCCTGCGCTGCACGCCATGCCGCCGTGGCCCCACAGTGAGCGTGGGCATCAGTCCCAGGCAAGGTCAAATCTCGGGACAGCCACAGCGAGGGACAAGAGGGCATCAGAGGGAAGAGGGGGGCAGTGGGGGAGCATGGGACCCAGTACACCCAGCAATCCACCCCGTTTCCCCGCAGCCTGCGGGATCCAGGCCAGCCCATCCCCCTGGAGACCAGTGCAGGAGTTTGTGGCCATGGACCAGTTCCTGTGGGTGGTGGCACTGCAGGACATGCAGAGAAACCTCCTAGCCTTCAGCTCCATCCTGAGTGAGCACTGGATCCTCAGCACCGCATCCCGTCTGCAGAATGGGTCCATGTCCTGCAAGGGGACCCGCACCGCCCCGGGCAAGACCTGGGAATCATCAGAGAATAACACCACCTCCCAGTGCGCAGGAGGGTGTTCCTGCTGCCCAGCAGCTGGGCAAGCATCCTTCAGTCAGGGCAGGGGCGGGCAGAGTTTGCCCCAGGGTTTTCCTTGCACCCCATCCTCTCCGTCGAAACCCCACAGGCAGCAGGTGCTGGTCTCAGTGAGGCTGAGCGCCATGAAGAGGTGATGGGCGGACCAGTCCCAGTATTTGACTGGGATACAGCCCATCTGCTTCCCCCATGGGAGCCTCTCTGCCTCAGACCTCCCCCAGACCTGCTGGGTCTGGGGCTGGATCCATCCAACCGCGGGCAAACCCTGGCAGGGCAGAGAGCCACCTTCCTGCTCCCTCCTGCCAACAGCCCCAATGGGAGGAAGGGGAACAGGGCTTGTCCTGGGAGGAAGAAGCACCCACTGGTCACCTGTCCCTGTTTTTTGGAGGCCAGGGGCTGCTCAGAGCCACAGGCTCACGGTGGTCCCTTGGCCAGGCCATCCTGAGGATGCTCTCTGTGGTGGACATGGATCCCTGCCCACGGAAAAGGATTGCTGCAACCATGTGCTGCAGCCACAGGGACACTGACAAAGTGGCAGCTGTTTGGTAAGGGACAGAACGCCAACCCAGGCCAGGCAGACATTTAGGCAAACCACCTCCTCCCCATTCACCTTACCTCCAGCTCCAGGCTGCTCGAGCAGCCAAAACCTTCTCCTGCTTAGTCCTAACAGGAAAAGATCCCTTCCGCACAGCTTGCAGACAGCAGGCATGGAAGAGTGTTTGAACATGTGACACCCATCTCTGCATGAGCTGTGGGGTGACTGGGGGCACTGCTCCTGGTCCCTGGACCCCTCCTGCTGCCGGGGCCTCCAAGGGTGTTTGATGTGGCCAGGGCCAAAGATGCTCAGGAGGCAAAACTGAGAGGGGTTCCTTGTGGTACGTACCAAAGGATGAGGCGTGGGGCTGGGCTGATGGGGGTAAGGACAGCCACAGGGAGCGATGCCAGTCACTTCTTCTGGGGTGCACAGGGACACAGTCAGCCCAAAGGCAGCCAGCCCCCTGAACCAGTGGTGCTTTGCTGCCAGGGACGACAAAGGACCAAACTTTGTGATCTGCCCTCCTCTCAGCCCGGTGAAGTCCACAGCCCCTGAGCGCGCTGGCAGGAGGGACACTGCTGACACACAACCCTGCCTTTTTTGTCTGTCCAAAGGGTGATGCTGGCAACCCCGTCACGTGCCAGGTTAGAGGGACTGAGAAATGGGTCCTGAAAGGCATTCTCAGTGAGGGCGGCATGAGATGCTATGGACCGTTCCTGTACACCCCAGTGTCTCACGACAGTGACTGGATCTTGGCCACCACCAAGAGGACAGGACCTCCCGCATTCCCCACGCGAGTCAGCGCGCAAGCTGATGTGCAGGCTCCACCCAAAGACTGGGAAGAGGCTTCCAGACCAGCAGAGAGGATATTTCAGGGAGATGGTTTCAACCCCAAGAAGGGAAAAACAGACCTGAACTAATCTTGGGCCACCTGAGATGATTTACAACTCCTGCAGTGGGAAAATGCTTCCCGTCTCCAGTGGACACTCACATTTGCCCCAAGTGCTTGGGAAAGGGGTAGCTGCTCCCTCCTGGCTCTTTTGTTTCTTTAGGTAAATGAAATGTCCTTTTGCGATCAGAAAGCCTGCTTGGTTCACGCATGCCATGTTGAAATGATTTGCTCTATATGCTCACACTGCTCCGCTCTCTTCAGTGCATGCTCAGAGATGCTGAACTTCCAGGGAATCCCCTCTGGTTCCTCCTGCATTAAGTGATCACCAGGGCTTGCCTGGAGAGAAAGGACAATTCCTGTGAATGTGTCACATTTGATCACCAGAGAATAACTGCTTGTGGTGATGGAGGGAGAGGGGAGCACCCCGAGCAGAGCTGGCAGGGCCTGCAGAGGGGCCAGGCAGCAGAGCCTGGTGGGAGCCAGCACGTGCTGGGACAGACATAAGAGATGGCCTCACAACAGAGCCATGGGTTTATTTAACATTTCACGCAGAAGTGGTTTCATCTCATTGCAGCTTGAAAGGTGCTACGTTTACCTCGTTGACAGCAAACTTCCCCACAGGGTTGGCTCCTTCTGCATCTTCCACTGCCCACCTCGCAGCACCAGACAAGCCTAGTGCTGGTTACCAGACATCCTGAGCTGGTTCCACGCTCTGCGGCAGCCTTGCAAGGACATCTGCAAGATGAGAAAGGAGAAGGCCTTAATATGTTCAGACAGCAGAGATATGTTGCGGAGAAAGCTGCAAGGCTAGAGTCTAGCCTGGCCTGAGCTGCTGTAGTGCTTGCCCCTCAGTGTCCCCTGCTCCCACCTGTGATCGCTGCTCGCTGTAGCATGCTGAGGAGAGCTCCTGCAGGTCTACACTACCTTTGGTTTCTGCCCTGAACGCCACAGGAAGCCTGGAGACCCCACCCAACAGCACTGTATAGAAACCTACAGCCCCTTGCATGGCAGTAGGGGTGCTGGACATGCTCTGCCACAGAGGGACCGGCAAAGAAGATAGGTTTATAGCTTCACTCTTATCCCAGGAACTGATGGGCCAAGCCAAAATCCACACAGTTCTGAGAAAGGCTGGACCACACAAGCCCTGTCCATTGCTGACTTGGGTGCTGGGGGGCTAAGTGCTGGACAGTGTCAAGCCCAGAGCCTTCCCCGTCCCAGCCACAGCTAAGCCCATCTCTGCTCGAAGACGAGCAGCATGTCAAGGTACAGAACCAACACTATCCATCTCATCCAACCCAACCACTTCTCTCCCCACACTGCCGTGTGCACAGACATCCTGCACGGGACAGGGGTACAGACGTGTTCTGCTACCCTCAGGCTTTGAGTATACTCCTCTGTGTTACCTCTCCATCTCCTCCCAGGAGTTGGGACAAGCAAAGAGTCAAAGATGTTCTTGCAACTTTGCAATGAACTCATGTTTGGATCTTGGCTAGCCTCTCCTTACCAGAGAAGGGTCAAGATACAAGTGAGTATCATCAAAGAGGACTACAAACACTGGTGAGCCACCAGTGGCACTGGAAAAGGCAGGTGCAGGTTACATATGCAGAGCCGGAAAGGTATCGGGCTGCCATACATCCCCTTCTCCTTACCCACACAACAAGTTTCAGTATAGCAACAGCCCGATGGTGCTTCCTGTCAAATTACAAGCTGTGTCCTTGCCTTGGCTTCCCCTCTGAGCTCAGTCATTCAAATTCAGCCTCTATATCCTTGGGGTAGAGAGCAATTGCTGCTCTGTAAACAGGAAGAGCCTCCAGCTCTGCTAGGCACCAGTAAAACCACTGCGCAAGAACTCCTGGCACAGCTTCCTGGCGGGGCAGGAGCGAGCACTCCTGTCCCCAGGGTGGCTGTAGGCAGGCAGGCACCGATGCAGCTCCCCTGAGACCCAGTCTGGGCTCCCGCACACCCAGCACGGTGTCACTCACCTCTGCGATTGCCACCTTCCTCTCCCAAGCCTTGATGCTGTTTCCAAGGTCAGTAACAGCCATCTTCTGCTGCACGTAACTCAGCACGGGGGGAGCGCTGTAGTCTGAGAGCTGCTTCCGCAGCTGCCGGTTCACCCTCTCAGCTTCAGCTCGTTGCTGCCAGAGGAATAGGGACAGAGTGATCCTGGGGAAACGTCCGTCTGACAGCTGGTGGCCAGTCTTCCAGGGAAGCAGGGAGGCAGGATAAATTAGCGGCCCCTCCCTTGCCCTTCCGCAGGGGAGCAGTGGAATGCACCCCCTGGTGCCTCCATCCCTGCTGGGCACCACTTCCCAAAGCTGTGGTGTCCTCGCCAGGCCACATGTCCCCAGACTGGGATGGCAGCAATGTCACTTCTCCCAGGAGAGGACACTGCTGATGAAAAGTTCAAGAAAACAGAATTTCAAGAAGCCAGTGGCAGGTCCCTGGGGATCCAGGGCCAAAATCCACAACGTGACCTGTTCTGCAAACCTGCCTGGCACCAGCAGAAGCCCCAGGACTTGCTCAGACCCAGAAAGGCACACAGGTACCCAGCTCACTGCCTGGCCTCAGATGGGCATCAGTATCCAACACACCACAAAAACTACCTCCGAAGAGTGCTCCCAAGTGAAGTCTCTGGGTCTCCCAAATCACTCTCTTACCTTCTCCACCAGAGCACTTTCTCTTTCAGTTTTCTCCAGCAGCTCCTTCCTCTGGGAGATATCTTTCATCAGAGACGCAGATGTTGCCATGGTGTCCTGCAGCTTCCTCTGGAACATGAGAGAAGGACAGCATCGGTGGGCACAGCGGCAGCTCCCAGCCACCTGCAAAGTCACCCCTGTACTCCTCCCGCTTGGTCTCAGCTGGCGGAGCAGGAGCTCCGTGGCACCACTGGTCCCCTGCAGAAGGCAGCATCATGCCCTGGTCACGCAGCTACTGCTTCGCTATGTCCTGTGTGTCACACTGCAGCACAGCCTATGGCACAGCAGACAGGGTTTAGGACTGACCTAGAGAGGATGGCTGATTGGAAAGAAGCAAATACACCCAGCTGAGAAGCACTTTCACTGATAAGAGCAGACTCAGAGTAACAGCTGCAGCTCATGACAACTTGTCAAATCTCACAGGTTATGTAAAAAATGTATTTTCCTGTGCAAGACAACACCGAAGCTCTTTCCTACTGGAATTTTCCCCTGGGGTGTAAAATAACCATGCTACAAAGCATGAACCCCATCATCAGGCTGCAGACAAACACAAAGGAGGGCACTGCTGCTGTAGGTGTGTTGGGAAAACCTCCCAAATGAACTGCTAAATCGGTGGGAAGGCAGAGAGGTGTTCTGCATCATCTAACTGAGAAAGGGAAGGATGCAAGAGCTTGTATGTGACCCTCAGAAACAGGAGGAATGTAAAACAGAGGTGCTGGGAGGTTCACACACTTTATAGAAGTTGAGGACTTGGAGAGTCTTCCTTGAGGTCTGTTTTAGCTGCAGCAGCTCCTCATTCTTCTCATCGATCTTCTCCCGGTCCTGGGCATTTCTAATCTGCAGCTGCTGCAAGTCGACCTCATCGAGTGTCTCTCCCATCTGCTCCTTCTGCAAAGCCCAAGAAAGCAGAGCTGTAGGGCGCTGATCAAAGCTGCACCGCAAGTAAGAGGGCTTTGCTCTGGGGGGAAAGCAGACCTAAAGAATAGGATCTTCTCAGGGTCTTGGGTCTCGGGGAGAAATGCGAGCCATGGTGTGCCACTGAGCCTGTGCTCTGTGCCCTAGCTTCGAGGGTCCAAGCAGTGCAGACAGGTCCCCTCTGGCGAGGCTCCTGCCATGCCAGCAGCAGCCTGTCCCCAGGGAACTGCTCTGATCCACCATACATCTTTTCCAGGGCACAGAGGGCACAAAGAGATCTGCCAGCTTCCGCCCTGTGAGACTTCTTGTCTCACACCATGCATGCAGACATGTGCCAGGTCTGAACCTGGGCAGACAACAGTGCCCTCTGACAAAGGCAGCGAGGCCAGGAGCAAAGGAGGAAGGGGAGGAGGAGGAGGGCCACGCATCCCCTACACAGAGCAAGCCCTGTGTCCGCACTGGGCTGGACTCCTTTCATTCCTTAAGGGGCCATCTAGTTCTTGCTTCTCCTCAGCTGCTGCACGCACCTGCCTGAGCTGCTGCTGCAGCTTCTTCTTGTAATCTTTGAGCAGATCATTTTTTAAGCGCAACCTCTCTCTCAGCAGATCCTAAAGAAAGAGAGCAGATTATAGGGGGACAGCAGAGCCGTGGAGGAGAAAGAGCACCCAGACCACACTCCTTATGGTGCAATTCCCATTCATCTCATCCACCCTGCAGCCTTCACTGCTGGCTTAGAAAGGAGCCCAGCACGAAACACTGCTCAGCATCACCATGCCCCAAGCGTGGGGGCATGGCCGTGCACTTTTCCTGGCTCTGCTAAGGGCCTCCGTGTTCCCAGCTGTGCTGCAGCTCAGCAGCATGAGGAGCACCTAGGCTGGTCACCGACTGTCCAGTGCAACAAGGGCTGTCCAAACAGGCTCCCAGAGACAGTCTGAAAACATGATGTAGGCCACACAGGAGTATGGGATTTTCCCTAACCAACATAACTTGCCAGATGACAGTCTAGCCACAAAATTTGCCATGAAGCACTCACCCTCTGGTGGTTCTTCTCCTCCATGTATCTCAGCAGCTTCTCAGAAGCTGTGATACTCCCTTTCTTGCTGGAGATGGTGCCGACTATGTCTTTCTCAAAGTCACCAATGGCTTTCTTAACATCATTCCACCAAACATCTGCTTCCTCAATGACTGCCTGTAGAAATAAAGTCACACAGCAGTCAAGAGGTGCTAACTTCCCTTACTCAAATGGCTTTGGGAACAGAGAACACCGGGAAGGACCAGGCATGCTCTCTGATGGCATGAGGAGCATTTCTCATGTGGGAGCACTGAGTTACATCCTGTGCAGCTCAGGGCACATGCTGCAGGCTCACACAGCACGGCTACTTCAGTGACTCAAAAAGAACAAGACAAAAAACCTCTCACATGCCTGAGCTTCAACACCTGTCACTCCATCCTGACCTACAAAGATTGCCACTCTGACTAAGACAACACAAGACAAATTAACACCCTTTGTTGACTGCATATGTGCTGTGGCCAGAGGAGAGGGATGGGCTGCCTGCTTCCCCTCTCCTGGCCGCTGCAGGCAGCACCAGTGCTCTGAACACAATGCAGAGGTCTCTCCTTCCCCAAAAGCTCCTGAGAATCTTGGCTAGGAGGAGGTCTAAGCAGGCAGCACAGGGCGAGCATACAGCCCCAAGGAGCCTGCTGCAGGAACACAGTCTTGGAGGCTTGGAGCCTGCTGTGAAGAATCCCAGAGACAGCAGAAAGGCAGACTCTGGAGAGGACTGCGTGGAGCCCAGCCAGCTCAGGGAGCTTCTGGGAGCTGCTAGAATGAAGAACATGTCTGGCACAAAGGCAAAGGGCACACCTTCAAGAAACTGACAAAAAGGAGATTTTTCTTTTGAGCATTGACTTCATCTCACACAGCAAATCTGAGCTTCTCTACCTAAAAATCTTCCCCTCACCTGTATTATTCTTAGTTCCTGCCATAATAAGATCCATCTTTGGAGACTGGGCACATCCAATCTCTACTGGTGTACTTGCTTTCAAGAAAGAGGTGAGGTGAGAGGACAGTTCTGGCTTCCACTCAGCTCAGGACCACTCGCAGCAATGCTCTGCTATGAACGGCCCCCACCAAGCAAGTCTGTCTCACTGCCTGAGGGATGGCACGTTGAAAGGGGTATGAAAAGTAGCAAGACTGTTTGACACCTTGGTCCTGGAGAGCCATACCTCAAGGTTCTGCAAGGTCTGCTCCGAGTCCTCCTTCATCCTCTGGATCTCATCCATCACCTCAGTCAGCTCCCGCTCAACCAACTCGCATTTTTGCTCCTCTGTCAGGCTTAAAAAATAGTCCATCGCACCGTGAAACTCGGATTTGTACCTGACAGGTGTCTGCAACAACCAAGAAACAACGCAGATGCTGTTAGAAAGCCAGTGCTGGCCAACTGTTGCTGCATTTTGCTGTATTCAAAACCAAAATCATCTCAACGGTCATGTTGGTGAGATTCCAGCTTAGAGCAAGGACAAGAAGGCCTCTCCAGAGCAGAGGTATCTCAGGGCCACACCTGGGCTGACCCCATCTGTCCTCTCCTCCACCCACAAAACCCTCCTACACAAGCACTTTCTGTTCAACAGGCAAATACAGGCCTAGGGGTTAAAGCCAACACGGCAGCTTCATGCAGGCAGGTAAAACACCTCTTCGTAGCGAAGATGCTTATTGTTGTGTAGGACAGATGGGGTCTCCTCCTGCCTGTGTCCAGACTGCCTGAGGAGCTGAGCTTACTGCAGCACAGGCAGGCTGGAGTATGCTCTCGAAAAACTACTCAAGGGCAATTCCCAGTGCTGTGGGGACACAGCGAGACAGCCCCTGCTTTGCAGAGGGCAAGTGCTCACCTGCCCAAAGGCAAAGTTTCTAAGGGCTCGGTCTGGGACTGACCAGGAAGCGGCTGCTTTGGACTCAGGCAGGCACTAAAACCCAGCGCTGGCTGAAAGGAACTCCACTGCAAAGGGTTTAGAGCTCCTGTTCTCCGTGCCTCTGATGAAAAGGTGCCGTTTGGGCCAGGAGGGAAAAATCTGCTCCAAAAGCTTGTTCACAGCTCCAGTGAGAAGAGAGCAACACGCACTCCGTGGAGGTACCCGCATGTGGATGCACACAGGTCTGAGCCCACATGAACTGCTCCAGGAGGGAGGAGAGCAACAGAGCGACCCATCACAGACCTGGCACAGCCTTGGGCGAGTCTCCTGCTGTCCTGGCACCAGCCTGCCTATTTGTTTAACTCCTACTTCCAATTATGCTGTGTGGGGGGTTCACTCATTGCAGATCTCCCCGGCACTCGCTATTCAGGAGGATGCGGCACTGTCATGCAAGGAAGAGACGGCACGAGAAGGCAGCCTGGCATTTACACCGAGTGCAGGAACAGCAAGGCAGCCTGAACTCTTACACCGACAAAACCAGCAGCAATTTGCAAGCAGCTGTCTAGGCTAAGGGCTCACTGCTGCGAAGCCCAAGTGCAGCGTGCTGTTGGGGGACTTTCCTCATCACATTTCAAAGCGAGGAGCCTGCCTGCTGCCCTCCTGTCAGATGAGCGCTGAGATCGGGAGGTCAGGGGGGCTGCAGAGGGACGAAGGGTCGTGGCTCTGCGCAGCAAGGCAACAGCCAGACCCAAAGGCCCAGTAACCTGGAGCCACACACCTGCGGCAGCTCCGGCGGGGTGTTGTACATCCCGGACGGCAGCTGGAGCAATGTGCCATCCGGCTCCATCTCACGGTACCATTTCTCAAACAATTCCACCTCAGGCTCCAGCAGGGTGTTGGCATGGCTGCAAGGAGAAGGGGGACGGGCTGAGCACCGCATCGGGGAGCAGCTGAGCCCAAACTGGTGACCGCTGGCCACAGCGGCCACCCAGAAAAAGGGCAGCAGAACCCAAGGTCACCCCGGCCAGCACACAGGGGCTCAGGCAGGACA